GGAGAGATGTGCAGAGAAGAGCCGCCTGAAGTTCAACAAAGGCAAATGCAGGGTCCTGCACCTGGGGAAGAATAACCGCATGATGGGGGCCGACCTGCTGGAAAGTGGCACTGAGGAGAAAGACCTGTGGGTCCTGGTGGACAACAAGCTGTCCATGAGCCAGCAGTGGCCAAGAAAGCCAAAAGTATCCTGGGGTACATTAAGAAGAGCATTGCCAGCAGTTGAGGGAGGTGATCCCACTCCTCTGCTCAGTCTTGTTGAGGCCACTTCTGGAGTACTGTTTCCAGTTCTGTACTCCTCAGTACAAGAGAGACATGGAGCTCCTGGAATAGGTCAAGCAGAGGGCAACAAAGATGAGTAGAGGACTGGAACATCTCTCTTATGAGAATAGGCTGAGCCAACTGGGCCTGTTCAGCCTCGAGGAGAGAAAACAGTGAGGGGATTTTATCTCTGTGTGTAAGTATCAGAAGGGAGGGTATTGAGAGAATGGAGTGCTTGGCCTATAAGTTGTCTTTCACAATTCTGGATTTGATGGGAGGAGCTTGCAGATTTAAGGCTAGTATCCTCAGTGATATTGCAAGATTGAGCTGTATCTAAATGGATTTTGATTGACTTACAGAAATTCAAGTAAGGGCAAGCAACAGCAGTCCTCTCAGAGTGTTTGAGATTAAAGGATTTGATTTTTTTTAACAGTACACGCAAGGGTTAAGCAGATTCTGAATATTTTACATGCATCTTAGTCTGAGCTCCTAGGGCTTTATATATTGTGTCTCTATCATTTATGTTCTTCTGCATCATTCATCTGTGTCTTTAGATTCCTGTTCTTCACTGCACTCATATATATGTATGTAGCTACAGAACCAGTAGTAATGAAAACACTGATAGTTACCTTTCTACAGAAGTCTAGTATCAGATTCATGTATTTATTCAGAAATGGATAGCAAAGTGCATTTGGAACATGACACAGGCTTTTATCTTCTGTTTTCTGCTCAAATTGGCAGTGATGAATCTGACTTTTGTGAAATAAGATGGTGACCCCAGTTCAGTTCCTCGTATACAAAGTGTCAGCTCACAGTTGACAGTAATTGGAACTATGTAGGCATGGATATTTCAGTGGAAATGATTAAAAGGGTTAGGAGGCTCTTCTTCAAAATGCTGTGTATAGGTAGGGACAGAAAAAGGTTTCATTGAACAGTCTCAGAAGATGCATATCTTTTGTTTATATATTGTATGAAAAAATGTTACAGCTCAAGAGGATACCTGATTAGCACTTGCAATGTATATTCATATAGGAATATACTCTTTGCCTAAAAGGAGATTTTAAAACGCCTTTGAAATCAGGATATATCTTGTAAATTAAAGGGGGTTTTGTTCTTTGGAGCACACATAACAAATTCTTTTTAGTCTAAAACTGTATGGGATTTTTTTACATATTTTGCTCTGAATAATACTTAATTCTGCCTCATTTTCTGTCTGAATAAATCATCTCAAATATAACTAAGTAAAGCAGTTTTTTTAGCCTACTGTGTGGTAGTTATAAAATAGCTGAAGAAAATGACCTGCTCTTGCTGACTTGCTTTAGAATGAGGTGACTTAGGGTTCTGTTATTAGTCAGTCAGAATCCACTGTTGAAGTGTTGCATCACTGTCAATAGGCATAACAAGTCATCTCAGCCAAATGAATGCCTTGCAGGAGAGTCACTCAACTACCTATCATTTATATTTGGTAAAAAATCTAAAGTGACAGCGTGGAGCAAAATTAGAATCAATCAGTAAAATCCAAAAGCTGTTGAATGTTTTTGTAGAGAATGCTGAGTCAATAAGGTAAATGACATCAAGGGTCTTAGAATGAACCAATTCACTTCTATTCCTGAATTTCCTTTCTGCACCAAATTGCTAGTTTTAGCAGTGATGGGACAAATCATGTGAAGTCTTAGAGATGTGGACTGGTGCCTACTGGGATTAACAGACAAAACATTGATTTTCATCTCTGCTGAAATTGAGATATAAGGTAGACTTCCAGAGACAAGATGACAATTGTATTATCCAGCTCTGCTACTTCCAGTGTCACTATCTGAAAGGGCCCTGTCAACTGAAAGACCTGATGCCTATTTTAAAATGTATCTGTTTCTTCCACAGTGGCATCTAAAATGACTTTAATTTAGATGGAGATTTGAGAGGAGAAAGGGATACGAACATATAGTCATAGCTAATTTTCAACTTTCCTTACTTATATAAAGTTAACATAAATTTGACAGGCATTTGGTATAATTTCTTTTGTTATTTCATGTACACTCTGAAGCTGTCCCTCTTACCACTGTCTCTCGAAAAAGAGATTCATTAAAAAGAGTTAAAACAATATGAAATTTTCATAAGGACACATAGTCCTGAGTGACTAATAGTCCCTTTAATTTTCAAATCTCAGATAGAAGATCTGATATTTTCATACTCTGTGATTTTCTGTCTGTAAATTTATTTTGTTATCTCTTTTTTTGTTGTTGTTTTTATCTAGGTATAGTAGATAAAAATTATTAGCTGTTGTTATTCATATGTTAAATTATCCTTCAAAGGAAAGAAAATGGTTTTAAAAGATGACATAATTAAGCAAATTTACCCTCATATTACCTCTCCTCTTTTATTTTAAAACAAACTAAATCCCCTTTTCAGAGATATTGGTGACATAAAATAAATAGATAAGAAAACCCTCTGAGCTGTGATGCAGGGAGAGCAAAAAAGGATTGTTGTGTGAATACCTGAGAGCAGGTCCTACTTCATTTCAAGAATATGTCTGGTGTAGTGAACTGAAGGAGGCTGATGGTACTGAACTACAATTCTGTAGTATGGTTTTTTTCTGTCTGAATATAAGATTTAAAATAAACTTTTTACAAAATTAGACTTAGATATAATAATAACGGTGAGAATCAATTAGCACATTAAAAAAACAGGACAAAACTAGCGTTTTCCATGTGAGAAATACTTCTCCGATGAAATTCCTTGTTGCTTTGTTGGAATAGTTCATATGTTTACAGTATTCATTTAGATATTGTAGTGTAAAGAAAAAATTAGCAAAGACTGTTAATGCCTCTCATTTGTGGAGGAAGCTCTTCACACTAAGCCTTTTGTCATCTGCATGAGGCTAGCTGAGTTATTAATTTCTTAAAATCACAGTTTTCATATGTTCAGTGGACCTTAACTGAATTCTGAAAAGATTCACCTGATTTTATCTTGCTGCAATACTCTGCAAACCTGGTCTGGTACTGAAATGACCACATTCAGTATCCACCGAGTGACTGAACATGCTTTGTCCTAGCAGTAAAAGGATTTTTATTTCTTTTGTGAAACTAGGATCTATTCTGATACCAGAAACTTATAATAATGATCAAAATATGTTATTAGTGCCTTACTTATAACTTCTAAGTGACTTGTAATGAAAGGTGCAAGCCATTTTGATTTGCCTGAATGGAAGGTAAACAAAGCAGAAACAAAAGCAAAAGAGGAAATGGGATCTATGAGCAGAGTGGGAGAAGGATAAACTTCCTCCCACAAAAGGGGAGTATGGTTCTAAGTGAAAGGATACTGACTTGAAAATATTTTAATTTTTAATCAAAAGTTTCCGAAGTGTAATAACTGCATTTATAAATGTGAAGTTAGAAAAGTGAGCACTTCTGCTTTGAGGCTAATGTTGCCAGTGTGCATTATTCCAGACTTTAATTTGGTTTTGTATCCTTTTTTCATGAAAGACTTGATTTATCAGAGATATTCTGAAGGAGAACACTGGATATTATGTCTTGCAAACACTGGAAGACCAAGACACCTAAATTGTCCCATAATTTGCATTAATGTTCCTCCTCACTTTCTTGATAATTAAATGGAAACATGTGCAGCCTGAGTTACAAAAATGCTAAGTGCTTACAGCTGCAAGAGGCATCAGTGGGAACTCTCTTCTGAACACTGAATCCCCTAAACCAAAAGCTTTGTATTTGATCTGCCAGCCTAGTTAGGAGTATCCATGGAGTTTTGACTATTATGTCCCTTACATTGTGCCTATTTTGCAGATGGGAACTATGCTCACACATAGTACTGGCAATCCACATTGCCAAATGTACTGTAGAAATGAATTCTTTGAAATTTATAAGCGCTAAGAATCCTCTATCATGATATTCTGGAATAGCATACTAGGGAATTAGTAAGTCTGTGTTTTATCAGATGTTAACATAGAACTATATGGAGAATGCCAGAGATAAATAGAAATATGCACAAGACACAGGATTTTTGAGGACAGAATCTCAGAACATTTGAGGTTGGTAGGGATCTCTGGCTGTCATCTGGTCAAATCTCTTGCTCAAGCAGGGCCACCCAGACCCAGTTGTCCAGGGCTGTGTCTGTGTGGCTTTTGAATATTGCCAAGGAAAGAGACTCCAGAATCTCTCTGGGCAACCTGTGCCTTCATATGCCACTAGGAGGGAATGTTTAAGGCAGCATATAATATGTAAGAGGTGTGATGGCAGCCACTGGTGCCCTTTTGGACTTCCAGAGATTCTATACCAGTGCAGCAAATAGACCTTCTGATCTATTTTCAAATTAATTTTCAAAGAGTAGATATTGTCATCTGATTTCTGACAAAGATGATATCTATAAATCCAAAACTGATAGAAAAGACTAAGAACTTTAACTACTGAAATCTTCACTTGGAGCAGACAACATATACTTTTTATGAAGTGCTGTAATTCTTTAGCAATTAAATACAATAATCAGTCTTGACATGCAGCAGAAATTCAGCTATGCACTTAAAAGAAATCCTAGTTTTGTCTAGGCATTAATTAGGAATTAATTTTTCTTCTGTTTGGTTGTTTCATCTGTACCATAGCATATCAGGGTTGAATTTCGCTGTCTGTTTTAGGCTTGTGAAATATGAACAGATGCTGCGTAGTTACTTAGAGATCTTTGGTCAGTACAAAGGAAGATGAATGTTTGGGTTTTCTGATTGGTTTTCATTTGCAGTGCATGCATTGGATCCCAAGACCCTTATTGTGGCTGGGACATGGTGATGAAGAAATGCACAACGCTGGAAGAAAGTCTGAGCATGAGTCAGTGGGAGCAAAGCATTACCGTGTGTCCAGTAAGTCCAAATGCATTCATTTATCTCTTAAAACCTTTGATTCCATGTGAATTGCATGAAAACTAGATGTCATAGATTTTTCAAGTTCAGAAAACTGTATTTGATGCCATTTTCCTCAGGTCTTCCCATTGAATTTTAACAAAAAATTTAATTTCTTGACTATGTCTTATCAAACTCCTTATGTGGTAAAATTATTTGGATTAATTTCAAAGAGTAGTTGTTTTTCACCTATAATGTCTGTGTTTCCACTTTGAAAATAAATGTTCACTAAGACTACAGATACTGACATATTTTTCTCTGCAGGATTTTTCTCCATTATGTACTTTGGAAAAGTTTAATCACCAGTGGTATAATCTTTTAGGACTATTATTGCTAATATAAAAAGCCAAAAAATATCTTTAAAGATCCATGAATTGGAAGGGTCAATTGTATGAGTTAAGTCTCACCCACATAAATGACAGAGGTGATAATTATAATAAACTTAGTATTCTCATTTACACTGGCTTAACACTTCTCCTTAAAAATTGTTCTGAATAAATGTAATATAATAAAAAACTCCAACAAAATTCATTTATATCTCTCATTTTTAATGTGGTTCCAGTGTTGTTTTAATATTCATCCTTTTCCTTCACTCCAAAGCACACAAAAAAAGGGTTAAGGATCTTTCTTGTGCCACTGAGCTCTTTCTTTTGGAAACTCACGCTGCTTTGACCTTCTGCCCAAGAAGAGAACCTTTCCAACTCAACTCTCCTTTCATGCTAGTAAGGACCTCTTGAGTAAGGTCCCCACTCAGCACTGGAGCACATGCATCTATGAATTTATGCTCGTGTGACATTCATGTTCTAATCTCCATGTGTTTAACAGGTTCTTTTTAACACCTTACTGACACTCCTCTCTCTTACACTGGGCTTTGTTTAATGAATTGGAGATGTGCAAAATTATTATAAAGTTCATCCAGCTTTGGCTTGTGATCTCTACGTGTGTTACAGCGGCCTCACAGATGCAAATCACTACACTGATTCTGAGGTCCTTAAGAACTTTCTCCTGGGTTTTGGTTGTGTGTGTTTGATTGTTAAAAATACTAATTTTTTAAACCTTTTTAAAAAAGTTTAATTTTTTTTATCGTTTTTATATCCTGTCCTTTGCATCCATGCTCCCACACAGAGACCTAATAAAAATGGCTTGTCCTGGATTCATCTGCATTAGCATTTGAGCTGAAATCAGGAACAACTCTGGGACAAATACTACCATTTTTTCCATCTGCTATTCATTGGTTCATCACAAAGCGGTCTTGAAGTACACAAGCCATATTACTTTCAGGTGCAATTAAAGCAAAAATGCACCAACTACTGCTAGGCATTTCATCTATGGCCACAGCAAGTCCAAAGTAAAGCCCACAAAATACACATGGTGTATGTGTCAAGTCTTCAGCACCAACTCTTTTCTTTTCTGGATTTGCAGTGTATGTGCATATCACCTGCTATAATATAGACATAGCCATTGTCTCACAGAAAGTCTGGATTCAGTGACTAGCACAGTCCTTGCCTCCCCGACTGGCAAGTAACTAGATGCACTGTACACTAAATTAATTTCCAAGTATGTGAAGTATGCCATGTCTCCTTGCTGTAATCCCACAGGCTAAATGGTTACATGGGGGCTTTGCTGGTGGCCTAGTTGGGTTGCTTTGTGTAGAAGGATTACTGAAATGTGTTACTCGGTTGATATTTGCATGAGCCGTCTGCCTGCTGTGCTCAGTCTTTGAATTCTGATATTAGTCCATATTTTCTTTTGTTGTTATAAAACACAAGAGTAAGATAGGGTGGAGGGGGAAGGAGGAATGATTTAGAAAGCAGAATTCAATCATGTTCCATTCACATGGAAAAACAATTATTTAGTATCTGTTATATGGCAGTTGCATAGGGTATGGCACTCTAATCAAAGCTGGGGAGTACCTAAGGCTTGCTCAGAAATTCATCTATAGCTGTAAGACAATCAGAGATGCAAAGATTTAGTGAACCTCCAAAGAAATTTTGTAGTTGAACAGATTGAGATTTTATAAGTAAGATTTTAGAATTATCTATCTAAATTGAAAAGTGTGGGTTTATCCCTTTACTGTCTTAAACCCCTGAACATCAAGTAACACATTATTGAACAGATTTGAAAACTTCATAGAAACTTTCCTGTAAAATAACACTGTATTCTGGCAAACTGCAATTGATTACAGTTTTGCTCAGTGACACTTTCAAGTATTTGTTTTTATAGCATTTTTATGTGCTGTATTCACAGGATATGTAAGCCAAGATGTAATGAATTTAATTTTGTAGACAACTGAGCTATGTGCATTTTTAACATGTGCTGTATATGTTTAAGACACCACTGCAGGCAGAACATTACAGAATATGAGAAACCTTCTACCCTCTCTCTTTTGGTTCCAGTTGGTTCCAATACCTTCATTGCTAGTAGTTACACTGATTTTTTTTAACATTTTAGAATTTTTGCTAGATCAATGCAGCACCAGTTTCTTCTAAACTTGGATCAAAGAAAGAGGTCCATTTATATACTAGTTTAGCCCAGAACTAAAAGTGTGACCAGTTGCCTTTGAGAAATTATTTCCTAGAGAGTTATTCATACATCTGAATATTTATTGGCTTGCCATGGTAGAGCAGGAAGAGGACTAGGAGAGGTAGCTGAGCATCTGTGTTACCACCTCTCTGAACTTAGAAGATCAATTGTGAAAAATATGGTTATTTTGGTTATCTTGCTTCGATTTAGTTCTCAATTTTGTTTTTAGGTTATTGTTTGAGTTGGCTTGAGTACAGCAATTGTGCACAAATGTAGATAGTAATTAATGCTATGGCACATATATCTACTCTGAGATTCTTCCATCTGGTCAGATGTCCCTATTGGATGAATAATATATTCATCCAATATTTTTAATAGTAGTGAAGGTTCTTTTTTTCTAAAATATTTTTCAGTGGGGTCATTTGCAGTCCCTCACTGAAAAATACACTGGCAGTATCAAAGAGCTTTTACACGGAAAGTAAAGATGATTCTAAAAAACGTTCGGGGTGGGATATTTGGTGTTTGTTTTTTTTAACATAAGTCTGCAGCATGAAATGACTTTATTTTTACAGCTGTGCTCAGAGAAAGAGTATAGTGTAGGATCTTACCTGAATTCATTAGCAGCTTCAGAAAATATTCCAGGCTCACTGAATTGTACACTAAGTAATCTCAAACCAAAGAGCTCGTGACAGATTTGAGAAGTGAGTCACTGAAGATGTGACCTTGACTCAAAGTGCAGAGGCACAAACCAGGAAGATGAGGTGGGTGCGTAGAGGCTCAAGACAAAGCTTGATATTTGGAGAACATTAGGAAGGAAGAAAGGTCTAGAGGTATCTGCAGAAGGAAAAAGGTGAGAAAAACAGTGTGGTAGAGAGGGAAAACAGAGCGTAGCCATGCCAGGATAGTACAGCCATATAGTCTGATTGATTGAGATTTTACCCTTGAAGTGTGTCAGATCATGAAAGGTTAATGGGCATAGATTCTGGTGAGGGCTTAAAAGGCCCCTTGTCAGTACATTTTGCTTTCCTGTAGTCGTATGATGAAATTGTTTGATATCACTTCTGAAAGAAAGAGACTGGCAGAGACAGAGCAGGTGAGTTATGGGGAACAGCAGAGACTGCAGTGTGATGATCTTTGCAGGAGCAGGGGAAAGAAATTAAGAGAAACCTGCCATCAGTTTATCTTTCTGAGATCAAGCTTTCAGCTGTGTTTTATATATCCTTTCCCTGCCACTTAATATAAATTGTGGTAACCATAGACAACTGTAGCTTTAGTTTATAATTGTAGGTGCAACAATAAAGATGCTTTGGTGCAGCACAGAAACAGTAAACAGTAAAGGCATTTTCACATCTCTGACATTAATTAGATTGAGGATATATAATTGCTAGTTTATGGACTATATATTTGTTAGACCAGCAATGTAAGAGAGAATGAGTTTACTTTTCACTTAACAAGAAGTATTTCCTGTTGTCTTATGAAAACCAAGAGTGTATTCTCTGCATGAGCAAAGGTCTGTGAGTTAGTGTCAATAAACAGCTGTCAGCAGAATTTTGAAAGTATTAATTATGGTTATGTCAGTTGTAGCTGACAGAATATACACATAACTGTTCCATGGACGGGCTATATCTGTGAAAAATACTAAAAATAGCAAAGGGAGATAAAATTTCAGATCAATCATGACAATCTAGAACTGTAATTCCTATTTCAATATAGAAGCAAATATTAAAGTGTTATGTTCTTACACATTTGATGAAAAATTGATGACTACAACTGATACATGCATATTTTTAACTAGAAGTGACTTTAAATGTTATTTAGCCTGCACTTGTTAGTACTGTTGCCTTGACTAAAAGCTAAAATGTGTCAATCAAAAGGCAAATCCTTTAGCTTTTAAGTGACAAAGCGGCCATCATTTCCATTCCTGATCACAGATTTGTCAATGTCGATACCTTGCTAAAAGCGTTAATAATATCAAAGTTTGTTGAGAGCTGATTTCCCCATGTCCCTCCTCATTTTCTTTAGAAATTCCAGTAATCATGGAGGCTGCTGCAGTTTCCATTGGTTGATTTTGTTTCAGCCGAACAGTAAAGACTCCTTATTAAATGTATTATGGCTGCTTGATGGATACATTCCAGTCAGGATGAGAATGATCTTGACCTTTCCAGCCGAAGGTGTTGAGAATCCAATTCTTCTGGAGTAAACCATCTCATCCTTCCAGCCAAAGGTGTTGAGAATTCAATTCTTCTGGAGTAAACCATCTCATCACATAGGATTAGGTGCTGCTTTTTGGATTTTTTGTAGGATTTATACATATAATTAAATCTAATATTTAGAGACTGTCATATTTAAAACCACACTTCACTTTTATGAAATGGTACTACGTGTTAAGTGCTTCAAAATCTTTTGTCAAAAAAGATACTAATCATGGAGATTTGAGTTTGATTTATCCAGGTTTATTACCCTGGACTATTCATGGAATGTTTTTTTTTTTTGGAATGGAAATTAAGGATCATCTAGTTCCAACCCACTGCCAAGGACAGGGACACCTTCCACTAGACCAGGTTGCTCAAAGCCCCATCCAGCCTGGCCTTGAGCACCTTGAACACTTTCAGGGATGGGGCATCCACAGCTTCTCTGGAAAACCCGTTCCAGAGTCTCGTCATCCTCATAACAAAAAATTTCATCCTCATTTCTTTCTTATTCTCAGCTGCCTCTTCCTTTTTTCTATATTTGGGTTTCCACAAGCATTCTTACATATGCTGTTTTACAGTCAGTATCCAGGAAATTTTAGCAAATAGGGGATTCTGCTATCAGAAGATACTCAAGAAAGTGAAACTACTTTTCACTGATCTCTTGTAAGGACACGCATGATTGCGAAAGGTAATGATTAGTTGTGATTACTGTTATTACTATAGTGATACATCCACTGTCTCAGATGAGTCAGAAGTTGTGTAAATTATGCAACTATACTGTTATTACTATAGTGATGCATCCAGTGTCTCAGATCAGTCAGAAGTTGTGTAAATTATGCAACTATAGAGATTATAAGGGAACTTGCTGTCTGGAAGGTATACCTCTCCAGTGGAGGCTTTTATTGGTGGTGGCTGAAGGCTGAACCTCCATACACTGCAAGATAAAGAGATTGTATGAAGCAACTGTCAGGCCTTGGGTAAGCTTTTCTGTTGTATTTGCTTCTAGATGAGGAATCTGACAGTGGATGGACATTTTGGAACATGGTCACAGTGGAAGCCTTGCACCCACACTGACGGTGCCAGTGTCGGCTCCTGCCTCTGCAGGACACGTGTGTGTGACAGTCCTGCTCCTCAGTGTGGAGGTTGGCTGTGTGAAGGACCAACCATGGAGATTGCCAACTGTTCCAGGTACACAAGACAATTTTAGGTTCTATCATTTGTAGTTGAAAAGTTCTTTACTTAATCAGAGTAAAACCTAGCCTTTGAAATCTCATCTGAAATCCACTGATCCTGTTCTGGGCATGAAAGGCCAAGTGAGATATTAGAAAGTTTCTCTCAGACTTTGTAAGAGACAGAACAAGTCAGAGGGCAAATAGTGATTTCAAGTTCTGTGTTCATGTTTAAAACATACATACTTCTATTGCAAGATGAAACTTACATACTGGTGTATTCTTATTTTCAGTGATTCTGCTTTTCGTCTTTTTTTCAGTTAAATAGCAGAGGCACATCATGGTAGTGAATAAAACTGTCTTTCTGCACAAGATAATTGCAAGCTCTGCAATTGGAAATAGTCAATTTTGGGAAAATTGTTAAAAATTTATCAATATAGTATATAACATCATGACAGGAAAATGATAGAAAAGACAAGCTTGCTGTGAGATACTGAACAGTCAAACAACAGCTGTTGGCTCTTAGGTTTAGAAGGGAATTTGAAACTTGATTCACATTCAACCATTAGCAATATTACACTAGTGTTTTAACATCTTGCTTCCGTTAACAGTGCTATATTAGTAACTGATTCCCAGAATTCATGGATATCCAGAGATTTTGTTCAATTTACCACTTAGATCAGACACTGCATTGACAGAGAGCTTAGTTTTTTGCCTGTATTACCAGTGATAGCTGATTTATTTTTTCCAAAAGTTTTTTTTTCTGTGTTGTCAACTTTTATAATAACAAGGTGCCAAGATGTTTAAATAAGTAATATTTTAAATTTTCCAATTGAAATTGGGATTTAAATTGGTAGTATTTTTTATAAATTACTTAATCGTGTCTTTTTTTTTACTGGATTTAATTAGTTTTCATTGTTAAAATAATGTGGTTTCAAAATCACGTAAGGCGCCATTTTAACTTTTGGTTTTATGATGAAACATCAACAACTCCTTCTGGTTTAGTTTTATTTTCCTTGATTTCTGTTTGTATTCTACCAGTACAGAAACTGCCATCTAGCCATTAAATGGTTATGGAAACTGAAGTGCATCATTTTTTGCTTAGGACAGGATATGGAATTCCATATGAGATGTTTGATGTATCATATTTTTTTCAACAATATATTGGGGAGGGCCAGGAGTGTCTTTTCCAGAAGTTCACAAATGCAAGGTAGAACATGTGAATTCTTTTAGCTTTTTTGGTAATATTACAAATAAATTATAGGCATATCCTGTTCAAATTGAAAACCTAATGCATTTTGACACTTATTGCTCTTTTTTTCTTTAGAATCATAGAATAATTTAAGTTGGAAAATACCTTTAAGATGATTGAGTCCAACCATTAACCCTTTACTGCCAAGTCTACCCCTAAACCATGTCCCTAAGTGCCCCATCTTCACATCTTTTAAGCACCTCCAGGGACAGTGACTTTACCACTTCCCTAGGCAGCCTGCTCCAATGCTTGACAACCCTTTTTGTGAAGAGCTTTTTCCTAACATCCAGTCTAAACCTTCTCTGGCACAATATGAGGCCATTTCCTCTCATCCTGTCACTTGTTACCTGGGAGAAGAGACCAACACCCACCTCACTGCAACCTCATTTCAGGTAGTTGTAGAGAACAATATGATGTCCTCAGAGCCTCCTTTTTCTCCAGGTTTTAATCACTTTCAGCAGAGGTAGCAAAATTTGACATTTTATAATCTCCCTGAAAATGAAATGTAATTAAAAATTATCTTCAGAACTTTGATAGAGGAGTTTGCATATGAAGTTTACCCAGAATAAAGTGATCAAAAGCAACTATAAACCTTCATAGCTTTGTACTTCTTATTTAATGGGGCAGTTTTAATAGTTGCTGATTGCTAAGCTTGGAGTATGGAATGATGAGAGCACCTTTATTTTGGTTCAGTATTCTTGAAGGAATGGAACACGATGCAGTATTAATGACTTCTACAGAAATATTAATAGGCCAGATTCTGCTGCCAGTCACACCTAATCAGCCATTCGCTATGTATAACAGATGACAGAGCCTGAGCTTTTTATTCTACCAGAAATGGAGGCTGGACACCATGGACTTCTTGGTCACCTTGTAGTACCACTTGTGGAATAGGCTTTCAAGTTCGGCAGCGTTCCTGCAGCAATCCAACCCCTCGACATGGAGGACGTGTCTGTGTGGGGCAGAACCGTGAGGAGAGGTGAGTTCTCTTTATTCTACTGTCTGTTTGAATCTCTTCTGCTCAGTCGTATTCCACAGGACATTTTCTCCCTTACTTGCCTTGGTTTTCTCTTCTCTTTCCTTTCACTCTCTAACTTCACTGCTGCACAGTAGCAGTTTTCTCACTAACAAGGCTGTGGGTCTGCAGCAGATTTTTTCATCTTTCACTTAGCTTCATCCCTCCTGAGCCACCTGAGAGCTCCTGGTAGCGCCAGAGAATTGTGCTGAAGCAATGTGTAGCTGTCCCTTAAGACCCTGAAAATTGATTCTCCTTGAAAATTGATTGCATTGTGTTTGAATTGTAACTTACCCAGCCTCAAGACCTGGAATTCAGAGCAAAATACACTAAGGTCACAATACTATGTTACTGATGCTGTGACTTCATTTTTTTCTGTTGTAAATGAATTAAGCATTTCTATAGCATGAAAGGAAGTTTCCGGAGCTTTATTTTCCTTTCAATAAATATAATACACCTTGAACTCAAATATTTTTTAGTAAGGTTTTGAGCTTGGGGTGGTTTTTTAATGATTTGTATATATGTTAACCCCTGATCAAGTCAGCTCAGATTTTTATTTCACCGTCTACTGCTTTTGCACTGGACTGAGTATTTTGTCACTAGCTCAGAATGTCAAGTCCAGGCCTTTCATTCTATTTTACACACACCCTAATGTCTCTAATTTTTTTAATTTGTGTTTGCAGTTTTAATAGGAATTAAATATTTCTTTAAATTAAGTTAGAATATATTCAGATAAACTGCAGCTCTTATATGCATTATGTTGTTTCCAGAGGCATACCAGAAAGCTAAATAGCAGAATAATGGCATTAGTGCAGTCCTATAGTCATTCATTCCAAGAGATGTATGCATCTCAATATGCACTTGCAGCTTGCTTCAGTGTTTCTGTATGGATGATGTAGTATACTATACTGCTGTTGCATGAAAATAAAATTCAGTAACCTTTATGATGAGTTTCAGTGAGGCATTTAATTAAACATCAGCTCTGTCATTTCTTCATATTAAGAGATTCATTGAAGAAAGATTGCATCACACATTTATGAATTAACAGATCACCAGGGATCTGGTCTTTCTAATTCTTAAATGTAAAGGATCAGTATCACAGAACATGTGAATGCTTCTTGCTGTTTCACAGCCATGAATATTTACCATTTCATTGCAGAGGAGAGCATTCTATTTTGTAAATTGCTTTCTGAAAATAGGTTGCCCATCCAAAAAGCCATCACCACCAAACATAGATTGTATCTGCTGTTACTTAGCTCTGTACCAGCATGAATAACAGTTATTGATTTTCTTGAACTTGAGAGGTCAGTCCAGGGCAGGACACAATGAGACTGAATATAGAAGAAAATTGTTTAGTTTGGATAGACTTTCTGGTGATGGACTATGGATGCTAGTAGTCATTGTTCATCTTAGTTTAACATGGAATAAAAGTCCAATAAGAAGTTTCAGAGAAATAGAGAAAACCGTGAGAAATATTGTATGAATTATAGGAGAAAATGTTCAGTGTTAAGACAATGGGTGCACTGTAAAAGCAGTTACAAAATGGAAAGTGGTACTTACAATGAGCTGAGATAATAGCAGCCCAGAAGGATTGAATTTTGGTATCTAAGAGTTCTGAAGGAACAACAGGCTTATGTTGCTTTGGTTTTTTAGCCTGAAGGTTATTTGTCCTTTCTCTTTGTCCAGTTCAGCAGCAATCTGGGACGTATATGCCTGTGAGTTTACTGCAGGATGTCTTTTCTTCTCATAGCTCTTCTGTCACTGTTTCCTGTCTCTTTCAAGCACTCTTCCCTCTCACTGGTCCTTCACCTTCCTCTCCTCATTCACAGCTTGCTCACAGCTGACCTCTACCCTGGTTTTGTTTGTCATCTATGTTATGTCCTGATACTTTTAATTTATTTTTCTTAAGTACTTTTAATTATTTTTTTCCAGAAGGTGTGATAAGTTAAGAAATTTCATCAAATAATTTGTACAGCTAGAGGAATGAGGCATCAGTTACTTTCCAGGATTTTTGTCAGTCTTAAACCAAGTAATTGGATAAATCACTTCAGAGCTGTAAAAAGCAGAGAGTCCTGTGAAACTTGCCATCCAGGTCCCATCCCACCACCTCCAGCAGGAGAGTGAGGCAAACCTGTAGATTGTGGCCAGATCCAGCCAAGTGTCTAGATCTTAGCTGATATCATGGCAATGAGAGAGGTCCAGGTGTGAAGCTAAACCACAGGCCAGGGTTAGGATCAGGTTAAATAAAGCCCCTGGGTACATGGGTGTGGGTAGAGGTCTCAGATGAAGGTGATTGGGGCTTTTTGGGTGTCCTCACCGGCTCTGACAGTTTGAAGAGAATTTTGAGCTGTGAGGGCAATGGAGTACCAGTATTTACAGTAGTCCTAATTCTCCTTTTGGTGCAGATGTAATTCCAATGGCAGTGCAAAATCATTTTTGCAAATAGAACCCAGTACATTTAGGCAGGCTGAAAAAGCATTACACATGCAATAACTCCTAAGAAACGTTTACCCAGAGTGCCAATAAGCAACTTCTCAGATTTTCTCATTTAAATTAATGGATGCTTATAAAGAGTCTAACATTTTGCTTTCTTATTGATCCGACTCATATGTAAAATGAATATATGGGTAGTCTCTAGTAAAAATTTGAGTTAGTTTGTTTGCACATTGTGTGGATTTGTCTCTACAAACGTGCATATTCTAATCACCTTGACATGTTCAGGGGTATAAATATAGGATTCAGTTTCCACAGCCAACATTGTGCCAAATTTTGATACAGCTTTTCAACAAACAGTGATTTCAGTAGAAATGTAGTACATAACTCCATAGAATGCAAACACAGAAAAGATAGTGTATATCTGAGGTAAATTTACCTGCAGATGTGAATGAATGCATATTCAGCTTGAGAGTATTTGTCCATGCGTTAAGAGCCACATGTTTGTCTAGGTTATGTTTGTTTTACCTCATGAAAGCCATGATCCTATCATGGCTAATATATCGGGCAGCTCTTTGCTTGCTACTCAATTCCCTTGAAATCAATGGCAGTATTTACCAATTTAAAGTGCTGAAGATAGGTTAAGCTGCTGCATGTTCTGCTGCTCAGTGGTGTGTGGGGGAGTGGAAAGCAGTTGAAAGCAGCAAATACTCATATTACAAAGCAAATTCCCCTTGTAGGTCAAAAGTGCAGCTGATGTGCATTTAGACAGATTATGAAGAAGGAGTAAAAATAACATTTTAACAATATTTGCTAATCGCATAAATTAATTTTGTAGTGAAGTCTCAAGATGGAAGACATCCTGATGAATTCCTTAGGGGCTTACAAATTTCTGATTTTTCCTGAATGAGAAATATTCACTGAAGCTGCTGAAAACCTCTCTAGATCTTAGTTTATAGAGTTTATAGTATACTGTCATGACATTTTCATTGAGTGCAAATGTTTGCCTTTTCTGTGGAAGATGCTGTGGATGTGGCTTCATTAAGTCCACTGGTCTCCCTCATATCT